GCTATCACTAGTGCCCTGAAATATGCAATAAACAATGTTATTTTAAGTTTTTTAAAACACTTGAGATAGTTGATAATAGTTTGGATTTGTGCCCCCACCCAAATCTCATGTCATATTGGAGAAGGGACCTGGTGGGAGGTGACTGGACCATGGGGCAAATTTCTCCCATGCTGTTCTTTTGATAGTGAATGAATTCTCATGAAATCTTCCCTCCTCAGTTTCTCTATCCTGCCAACTTGTGAAGAAGGTCATTGCTTCCCCTTCACCTGCCACCATGACTGAAAGTTTCCTGACATCTCCCAGCCATGCTTTCTGTTAAGCTTGTGTAACTGTGAGTCAATTAAACCTCTTTTCTCCACTAATTAATCCAGTAGTTCTTTATAGCAGTGTGAAAATGAATTAATGCAATAGGTGTAGTTATGTGTGTATGTAGGAATATGTGTATACATGTGCATATATATACACACATATACACATTTACACATATGTGCATATATGTAGATACATCTATATGGGTGTTTTTGTATATAGCTATACACATGCCCACATATATTCATATATATGCATATATGTATTATGTATCTGCAATAACTATACCTGCAGCACTTGCAACGTATAAAGATAGAGAAAAATGTTAACAGATAGATATTCAACCAGGATTGTGAAAAACCAAGCCAAGTAAATAATGAGCAATTATTGAATTAAATTGATAGGCCTCAATTACCTATAAGATATGTAGCATTATTCTTTAAACTACAGAATGTTATGTTATCTCACGTAAGTGTTGTGTTTGCTATTCATGTCTATAATATGGCAAAAAGTTTCAAAAAGCAATTTAGTGAATAAGACTGCTCTAGTGTACAATAACAAAATTAGAACTATTAAGTAATGCCAATAATAGTATTGAGGAACACGTACTTCATAATACCAAGCTCATTATAACATGTGTTCTATTAATTTATTCCTTCATAGAATATTCCCATCAATGACCTCAAAGGTCAACTATCCTCAGAGATTTACCAATGATGCTACATTCTATTAATTAATTGATTCATAGAATATTTCCTTCAATGACCTGAAAACTCAGCTATCCTAAGAGATTTATCAATGACAAATAAATAAAGCTCCAAATAAAGTGAGACAAAATACAAAGTTCTGTGTAAACCATTGTTGTTAGCACAGAATAAAAAGAAAAAAAAATGTTTTGACATAAATTGGAAGGCAAATACTGCTTGGACTCTTGTTGACATGGAAGAACTCACTCTTCAAGGGCATAGCCTGCACTTTTTTATTCTATAAATGTTTCTTGGTTTAAAGAAAACATTGTCCTGGGGTCTGTTTGTAGTCCTACCATTTCAAATAATATAATAGTGAATAACAATTGTATTTTGTTTCAGTCAGTTTTATGGACATGATAGGGCAGGGAGGGAGATAACACTCCTAAGAATAGAGCTATGGACTGAAATTGCTTTCCTCCAAATTCATATGATGAAATCTTAACTGCCAGTATGATGGCATTTGAAGATGGAGCCCTTTGGGAGTTAATTAGGTTTAGGTGCGGTCATAAGGGGTCCGTCATGTTGAAATTAATATTTTTATAAGGAGACACCAGAGAGAGATGGCAGTCATCTACGAGCCAGGAAGAGAGCTTTCACCAGCCCTCGTCTGTGCTGGCACCATGATCTCAGACTTCCAGCCACCAGAATTGAGAGGAAATTCTTTTCTGTTGTTTAAGCCCCTCAGTCTATAGTTAGCAGAATGAAATAAGCAACACAAATAGTATCATAAACTAGCCAAGGCAAGAGAAATGTTCTGGGTTAGTGCGCTTTGCTTATATAAGGATGAATTTACTTAGATGTAAATTCATATATGAAATATATACTTTATAACTCATCACAAATAAAAACACTCAAATAAGAACCCCAATAAAATAGTATCAAATGACACCAATAGAGGTCTATAAATGCGAAGTTTCTTGGTAACCTCCTTGATTGCTTTAGTCAAGTGGAATAGCGTAGATCCCGTGTTCCACCCTGGAACCTTATAAACCTTGGTCTTGGCCAAATTCCCAGTAGCTGCTTTCACCCAGGTTTCTGTGTGAGACCCCAGAGACAGCCTTCTTAACCTGCACAAACCCACCAAAAGCACGAAGCTCTAAGAAATCCTTGCCAACACTTTTTTTCTAGCTTTTGCCCAAATATAAATGAGACAAAATGTGTCTCAGAGGTGCAGCAAGCCCATTAATTCTGCTTCTGTGGCCAACTAAATAGAATGCAAATCTTTTTAAGAGAGGGTGTCATACATACTGTACAGTCCTCAGTCATCTAGCTCTACCTGCACGTACAGAAATCAACTTTTAAACACTAGATGCCTATGACTGAAAATCTTCCTTCTTTTGAATCTTTGTGTTGTGCTTTTATCCTCTTTTCTCATTTTTCTGTAGTTTTTATATTTAATCATCCTCCTGCAATATGTCTTCTATTTTCCTCATGATTGTTCTGTTCACTTTATCTTTTTACATCCATTTTTAACTAATCTGCTTTTTTAGCTTAAAAAACTTTTTGTCTCCTCACCCACTAACTTGAAACCAGGTAAATGGTGCATCTTATTCATTGTAAAAACGTCCTACTTTTTTTGTCTCATTTTTCCAAGAATTCCCAGTTCCTTATATTGTTCACAAAACTGCCGTTGTTGTGGGGTTTTGGGACTTTCTACTAACAAAGATGATTTTTCCCACCCCCATGCTAGAACAAGATTAAAGATTAGGAGTAGGGTGAGTTAACAGCCAGATGAAATTGAGAGATAGAATAAAGTAAGAAGATAGGGGGAGTTGCTTCTCCTCACTGAAAGGATGGCTACTTTTAGGGTATCAAGCATGGAGTCTTTACGGATTACACTGGTTCATTCCCACTGCACCCCACAGAAGCCTACCTCTCTTTTATCGAAATCAAAGATGTGTGCTTGTGAGTATTTCCCATATGAGTGACATTTGATTTGAAGACATTTTCTGAATCTGAACACTTTACCATGGACTCCTTAATTGCAATAAAATTGATGAAAAATACCTGGGAATATCAGTAGTCTATCAATCTGTGATTCACTATAAGACGGAGGAAAATTAGACATTTAAAATTGTACCTAATGCAAAGTTTCATGTTTCAATATTCAGAATCTCCTGGAAGATTGTATAAAATGCTGATTGCTTGGCAATGGATGATACTGGGAGGCTGAAAGTTACTCCAGAGAATAAAGACTCCCAGATTCTGAGATCTAACTTTGGCCACCTGTTCAACGAAATGTTCTGGACTAAAAAGTTTTTCTGACAACAGAAAGTTTGTCATGTAGCATAGTGAAGGAGCACACGCAGTTGGAGCAAAGACTATGTTCTGATGTTTGTCCTGACTTTGCCATTCTTATATGACTTTGGGATAATTACTTCTAGTCGCAATTTCCACATCTGTAAAATGAGGATAACACTGGTACCTATTTCTTATAATTTTTAGAGAATTTAAAGAGCTACTAAATATATAAAACTTAGATCAGTTCCTAGTACACAAGAAACACCAAATACAATTTAGCTATTAGTCTTAAGGATACCTCACTAGTCTTCCTTAAAACTATACTGAATCCCTCAGGCATAATTCTATACCTCAGCACAGTCATTTCAAGTTACAAATCTTCCAATACTCAGGAAAAAGATCTTTGTGCTGTCCAGAAGTTGAACAATATACTGAGCATGTCCTAGAGCATGGTTTTGTGACCAGGAAGAAAGAAAAAATCTGGAATCAGAAATGCTGGAGTTTTGTTTTAAGCTTTTTTTTAAGAAACAAAGTTGTGGTCATTAACCAATACCTTTTATTTATTAATTTTAGTAATTATAAAATGTGATCCATGGAGGCTGGCTGAGCTAAGAAACGGTGTAGCATGAACTTCGAACTGTGAAGACTGGTTATAGAAACATGGATTTTGTTATTCAATAAAATTAACAATGCAGTAGCTTATTTGGGACCTGCATTGTGATATGCTGCTGAAGAGTTATGCATAACAAATTAATTTGTTAGCACTGCATTTATAATACCATATCAAAATTCAGCTACTTGGGAGGCTGAGGCAGGCAAATAGCTTGAACCCTGGGGGTGGAGGTTGCAGTAAGCTGAGATCACGCCATTGCCCTCCAGCCTGGGCGACAGAGTGAGACTACATCTCAAAAAAAAAAAAAATAGCTTTTTATTAATTTTTGGAGAGGCTGCATGGATTTAAGGCGGCAGACTCTGGAGCCAAACTGCTGACTCTTGAAACCCACTCCCACTACCTACTCGCTGCATGAGCTCTGGCAGCTTACTTAATTCCCCTCTTTACCTCAGTTCCCTCGTTGTAAATGGAGAAATAACTAAACCTCCCCATTAGATTGTGATAATAACTAAATTATATAATATATTCAAAGCACCTGGAATAGTGCTGGACATATAGTAAACTCCCCAAAATTGTTAGCTTACTTTATTATTTCTCACTTAGCATTTTTTCTGGTCAACATTAGATATAAAGTTTAATGGTTTTATTTTAAAACTGCAGGGCATTTTAATGGTCATTTAAATTTAATATATTATAATGGATCACTTAATTGGTTAGACTGTACGTCATCAGCATTATGCACACCCACAAGAAAATCAAGTGAAGACACAATGGCTTGGAAACTTACTCGAAAATAAAGTTTCTTTTTTTTTTTTTTTAGGTTTTATATCTTTACTCAGATTTTTTTTAGGTTTTATATCTTTATTCAGATGTGATTCAACTATAGAATCACATCTGAATAAAGATATAAAACCTAAAAATTGGATTTCAGCATTATAAAATCCAAGATTTGAATTTTTTTTTTTTTTTTTTTTTTTTTTTTTTTGCTCAGCAATACAGTTGTATTTTACAACTTTTATAATCCCGAAGAGATTCTCTTATTTGGAGATTTTCATGCATTCAGGTATTTGGCATGATGTCTGATGTGATCAATAATAAAGGTTGCAATGAAGGTAGCTATGATCATAACCCTCCTGTAATAGAAAAACAACTGGGATTTTCCTTTCTGTACAGGCAGCTATGAAGTCATCAGGGAGTAACTCTTCATCTAAAAGAAACTGGTCATCTTTTTCTTGATCAATTAGTATGTCCAGCTGAGAACCTGGATAGGATTTCACAAGATGGGTAGCATTATATGCCTTCCATTTACTTTGATCTTTTCCCAAATATCCACTAAAGGCTTTTTTGCCCCAGGGACAGAGTACAGGGTTGCAAATTGAAGCAAATGCTGACACAGATTTGTATTTTCCAGGATTTTTCAAAGCACAGATCAGCACTCCATGGCCTCCCATAGAGTGACCAAAAATAGATGTCCTTTGGGGATCCACTGGAAAATTGGCATTTATGAGTTGGGGAAGCTCCTCTGTGACATAAGAGTACACTCTGTAGTTGGTTTTCCAAGGATCTTCTGTGGCATCAGCATAAAATCCAGCACCAGTGCTGAAGTCCCAGCTCTCATCTTCTCCTTTAACATTACAGCCCCGAGGGCTGGTGTCTGGAGCAATGACAAAGAGACCATGTTCTGAAGCAGCTTGATGATAACCAGATTTTGATATAAAATTCTGTTCTGTACAAATTAAACCTGAGAGCCAATACAGTTCAGGGCACTTTCCAGTTTCTGCCTTTGGTGGTAAGTAGACAGCAAACTTCATTTTGCAGTTCAGTTCAACACTGACATGTTCGAAAACTTTCTGCAATTCCCCAGAGCACTTGCTGCTGGAAATCTGCTTCAATGCCATTCTTCTCCTGTCAAATCGTTGATTGCTTTTTGCCTCAACCGAAGGGTAGACGATCCTCCGGCAGCAGAGTTACCAGAAGACCAAAAATAAAGTTTCTTTTGGTCGTGTGCGTGATCTATGGCTACCTCTTCTCGACACCAGCTGTTCAGTCCTGCCTCCCGTCTCTTCCTCAGTGGGACTCACTGAGTGCATGAAGTGTTTGGGGGCAGAAGGCTCCGGATAGCAGATTCTTAGGTTCCATGGACCATGAGTCTACCAATTTCCTTCCTGGTAGGGAGGAAAGCAAAATTAAACATGCAGGGAAGACAGGAAGAATCTAGAGATCTCAAAAAAAGGGTGGGTGGGGGGAGAATATAGCGAAAATGGGCTTAGAAATAAGATAGCATTAAGGTTAAGAGTTAAGAGTAAGGCCGGGCTCAGTGGCTCACGCCTGTAATCCTAACACTTTGGAAGGCTGAGGGGAGCAGATCACCTGAGGTCAGGAGTTCGAGACCAGCCTGGCCAACATGGCAAAACGCTGTCTCTACTAAAAATGCAAAAGTTAGCTGGGCATGGTGGCAGGCGGCTGTAATCCCAGCTACTAGGGAGGCTGAGGCAGGAGAATTGCTTGAATCCTGGGTGGTAGAGGTAGCAGTGAGCCAAAATAGTGTAACTTCACTCCAACCTGGGCAAAAGAACAAGACTCCATCTCAAAAAAGAAAAAAAAAAAAAAAAAAGTTGAGTAAGAGTAGGACGATAAAAAGAAGAAAAGGAAAGGATTTTACCAGCCCCAGTATCTTTTAGCTACTTCTCATCAGCCACCCTCTAGGTTCCTCTAAAACTGCTCATCCGATTCAGATTTATGGCTGGGTGCTAGAGAGTAGATATAATCTTTCCCTTCCTGTAGTACTTTGGTCATTTTATCCTTCATGCATTAATTCAATATGCCATCATGTAGCACTTTATCTGGGCAAAGCAATCATTCTATCAGACATTTCCCCTGGAGAAGGGAAAGGCAATTACCCGGATGAAAAAAAAAAAGACACAAGGGTTTGTGGTTTGCTGGAAGAAACTGATAAGGATACAGAAACATTACAATCAAGTTAGCGATCATAAGTATTATGGGTGCTGAGAGAGAGGAATGACTAGTTCTGCCTGGGTAATTGAGGACGTTTTCCCAGAGGACTTAACACTCAAGTAAGTCTATAAGGACAACTAGGTACTCCTTAGCCTAAAATAAACCATATTTCACAGGGTCTGAGGCATGCAGAAGCATGATGTATTCTGGAAGCTGTCGTTCCTTATGGTTGTAATAGAGGGAGTGTGGGTGAAGGCAGAAGACATGGAGGAGGAGGTGAGGTTGTTGAGAAATCATGCGCCTAAATAGGTTTAATATGTCTCTTTCATCTTTCTTCTCCTCCCACCATCCTCCCTAGTGTGACTAAATGAGAGATGCTTGGAAGTTCCTGTTTCTGGTTCCGGGGAAGGCAGTGAATCCATGCGGCTTGGAGAATGGCCTGGGGTGACCTAAGCATCTGGAAGGTCCATTTTCAGTTTCCAGGCTGTGACTGCTGGGTGGCTAGTGGTGACACTAAGTTACTAAACCAGATAGGGGTCTGTTATTGGATTTTCTCATGTCATAGCTAATAGTGTCAGTAAAACATAAAGCATAACTTACTACTGTACTTTTTAAAGTTGCCTTATTGGAAATTACATGTATACTGCATTGGTACAGATGGCCAGCCCTGCGTGTGCGTGCGTGCGTGCGTGTGTGTGTGTGTGAACTTTTTTAGCCTGTAAAGTCTCACAAACCCTGAAGAACAAGGATGCTTTTCTAATGTTCTTAGTTGAACATACCTCTCTGTATTCAGAACAAGAGTCCAGTGTGGGCGTTTTGTGTCCATGGAAGTGTCAGACCAGGTATCAATGGCCTAGGAAATGTTGAGAATCTCACAAGACATTATCAGTTATTTATTCTCTGACAACAGAGTGTAGAAAGGAATCAGCTTTCCTCCAGCCAGTCTTAGTCTCTGCTCCTGCAGAGACTTGCAGTATGGTTGAAACAAATACTCTCTTCCCATATATTTTTACTCTAGATGGTGCAAAATACTTCTATCTAGCAGAAAGAGACAGAGAATTCTTTGCTCATGTTTTCCTGGGACTTACCCTAGTAACACTCCCTGGAAACTCTACCTGCCAAGTCATATAAGAACACAGAATAGCTTAGCAGAAAAGGAAACTGATATGAAAAGTGGACAGGAAGTTGCCCAAAAAAGGTCTTATTTGAATCCAAGCACCAAAAAATGAAGAAATGCACAATTAATTGATTTCCTAATGTATTAGGAAGCAGTAACTCAATCTCTTGTGACCTAACATTGAGTTAAACTAGGAGAAAAATAGTATCAACACATTAGTTTGTATAATGTGATGGCTTATTAAGAAAGTCTACTGGATGGTGATGCTACACAAAATAAAATGTTCATATTTCAACATGATCTGCTTTTAAGTCACAAAAACTAAAACTGAATATACTCTCTGTTGGCATCTTATAAAAAAGTTCTTAGAGAATCTCAGCCTAATAGTTCAGTACCAGCAGCACCAATTTTGTGCAGTTCTCCTGAAAGCTTTCAGCAGTAAATCTCTAAAAATGTCCACTTAAGCAGTAGAGATCATAAATATTTCGCGAGAGCAATAAAACAGAACAGAATTTTGGAAGTTATAATTTTAGTGGATAAAACTGTACTTTATAAAAGGAAAGCCTCTGGGACCCAGAATAAATGCAAAACTCTGTCTGACTGAACTGCAGGACTAACCCATCTGCAAGTGGTAAATTATCCCCAGTCCCAGGTGTGGTACATTATCCTAAGGGTGTCCAGTGATTAAAGGTAAGAACGTGGCTAAAATCCAAGGGAGCACTGAACATTAATGATGGTTGGAAATTGTCAACAATTTCTCTGGAAGTTTGATTCTTTTCCATTTGTTCACATTGTCAGGCCCAAAGTTCAACGGATCGTCTGTGATCAGTTCCTGGAGTGTATGGATACACCAGTGAAAGAAGCCCAGAGCCTCTTTATTTGCCCTGGAAGTTTACACAGAAAAATAAGTGATAATCCTCTTACCTGTAATCCCTCAGGCTGCCAGAAAGGCAGACATTTACTGAAGCCTTTTTCCTAAAATTCAACTGATGATTGCAAAGCAACATAAAAATTTCCCTACATTTGTACTTTCCCTGCTACTTCACTTACTCTGTTTAGTACATATTTTCATAAAGGTTATTTCATATTTAAATCCATGTCTGGGTGTTAGAAACTTCCAAAGAGCCAGGGTTAAGCTTAATTGATTTCCTAAACTCTGCCACCATCCCACCTCCCCACACATTCATTTGTACATAAAGGGCACTATGGATTTTAAATGCAAGTGACTGTTATTTCATAGTTACATCCATAGTTTTGTTAACATCCTTTATATTTTCCACCAAGTTGTTCAATTGTCTGTCTGCTTGGCCCCAACCTAATTTTAACTGGTATAGTCTAGGAAACTCATAATTACAGTATTGAATGAGGATAGCAGGAATAGTAAAGTTACATCTGAAGAACAGATGAAAAAAACGTTCACGCAAGAAGACCCAAGCTTCTAATTTTTAATCAGCATTTGATTGTAACCTATTAAAATGCCAAATCACTTGGCAACATTGTGCTATGTCTTCACAGCTTAAAATAGTCACTGTGAAATAGTCATTCCACCCCAGTTTTCCCATCTGAAAATAATAACACAGTGTACCTTTTGCTGTTGCTTCTAATTTTTTGGTTTTTGTTATTGTGTAACGGAAATGTCAGCCTCTTGCATCTAAGGGTCACCTTCTAGTTTATTTGGAAAATAAAAGGATAAGAGAGTTTTGTCTCGTGTCTTCTCCTGAGTCATTGACTTGGCAGGGCTGGCCACATCATGTGTTCCTCTCAGCCTTGCTTTCAGCATGGTCTTTGGTCACGTCTCTGTCCACTGCTGTTTACCACCTGGGCTTGGGTTTTCCTTGGTGGTATAGCACTAGTACCAGAAAGGGCACACTTTCTGTCACTGACCTGCTACTTTGCTGCCATTAATACTCAGCCACAAAGTTTATGTGTGTTAGGAATTATGCTGCAGTTCTGGAGGTTGTTCCAAGTAAAACTCTCTAGAAAAAAGAAAAAGGAACAAAAAACTTGCTGGATACTCTCATGGGTTGGTTTTACCCATGGCCTTTTTTCAATCTGGGCACTCCTGGGATAGAGCAATCAATCCCGCAGGGCCTTTCCCAAAGACTGAGATGGAGAATCCATGGCAAGCCTATACAAACAGGGAGTGGGAGTTGGATTTGGAAGGAGAAAGGCCTGCAGAAAATACCCTATAATGAGTTCTGCAGCTGAAAGTCTGGTTACCATCCCGGGCCCTCTGCCAGTGTGTGGGAAAGCCAGCCTAGGTTCCTGGGTGGATGTGTGTTGTTTTTGCACACCCAGAATTATTCTCTGTATACTTGTGATCGTGACTTGAATTTCCCTGGGGGGATCAACTCCACCCACTTCCATTCCTTGTGGTTTAGGTTGAGCTGGCCCCTACCCCTGGACTCAGAGGTGAACTCATGACCCAGATCTGGACAATTGGTATTGTGGTCTGGCCATGATGATTGGTTAATCACTCTTTAATCTAAGTAATCCCAGGAATTTTTTTGTTGCTGTTGTTTTTTGAAGCAACTAGAAAAGACAGGTTGTGGGGTGTGTGTGTGTGTGTGTGTGTGTGTGTGTATCCTAAAACAGCTAGCAGAGAGGATGAAGTGAGTCTGAACTACCAACAGGCACCATAAAAGCATAAAAATAAGGACAAACAAGAGGAAAGCAGGGCTGAAGTGTGAGGACAGACTGGCTCTGATGATGGCATTTGAGACCCCTTCGGATCTACCCATGATCAAAGCTGGTACTGCTGGAATTTTCAGTGTGAGAACAAAGTATTTTTTTTTTCTGCATTATCAATTTGAATTGATTTCCTGT